GGTCCTTGATCCTCTTCTTATCTTTGTTCGGGACACCCCACTTCCACCACCCCGGGACCTCTTCGATGATGCGCCCGGAGAACACCGGCAAGGGGGCGGCCATGTCGTCCTTGACGTAAAACCACTATGAATGCCACCCCTTGTTGGAGGTCGACAAATGCATCAACGGGTAGTCATTCACCCAGTTGTTGCATAGATGAATGCTGGCACATCCCATTGGCATGCTCAGCTCTTGCTTCCCAACCTGCTTCTTTGACAGGTTGACAGCGAAGAGATACCACCACAGATCGAAGTGGGGACTAATCCCCAGGAACCCCTCACATAGGGCGACGAACGCCACAATGTGTTGGACCCCATTAGGAGTAAGGTGCTGCAACTCCACCTAGTAGTAATCCAATAGCCCCCGGAGGAACTTATGAGCAGGTACGGCGAATCCCCGCTCGTGGAAGTGAGCAAAGGACACGACATATCCCTCGGGCGGCGACGGCTTGTCCCCATCACAGGGTAGCCGCCACTCCTCGACAGCGATCAACGAGCAAAGGAGGCCACGGCGGACGAGGCCCTCCAGGCGCTGAGGGGTGATGTTGGATCTACACCATGGCTCCATTAAAATGATGGGGAAGGGGGTGGATGCGAGCTTGATGGCGACTACGATGCGGATGCGAGCTTGACAACGGTAGCAATGCGGGTGTGGGAGGCTCAGGCGATTGGTGGCGGAGGTTGTAGATGCGGAGGCAAGGAGACGAAGTACAGAACCCTAGGGGCGAACCCTGTGGTTTTATAGGGGCGACGGATGCAAGAAGAGCAACCGTCCGCCTCGGTCTCTGAGCCCACCACGATACACCACCACGTCACATCGCGGGATATGCGCCCACGATCACTATCCTTTCCCACCAAAATTGCACTGGGTGTTTCACCTTCCCCAGTAGACCAGGATGTGGGTCAAAAAGCTTCTTTTCGGGCCTGCCTGGGCCTAGGAGTCCAAGGGCCAGCCCAACAGTCTTGACGACCGTCCCAACGAGGGATGGGCCCATGAGCGACCAGGACTCAGGCACACAAGCCTCAAGGGAGCCTCGATGCGTAATCAAGTCCCAACTGGGCAAACCTTGAATGAATCCCCGCGAACGGGATACCAGGATTTCCTTCAAAACTGTCTAGATTGACAAAATACCAAATCTCACAGCCACAGCCACGAAGGGTCCAAAATTACCCCCAGGCGATTCTATCTGAATCACCCGGGGGCTCGGTGGCTACACCCGACGGGTGCGCTCACGCGCACCCTCTAGCGAATCAAAATACTCCCCGGGCGATTCTATCCGAATCACCCGGGGGCTCGGGGACTACACCCGTCGGGTGCGCTCGCGCACACCCTCTAGTGAATCGAAATACCCCCTAGGGGATTCTATTCGAATCACCCGAGGGCTCGAGGGCTACTGTCGGGGACCTAATACCGGGGTACCCAATGACGTGGAATTAATAACCATCGAACGTTGACGCTTTCGGTCAGACAAGAATGCTACTACACTTCTTGCCCGAACAATGGAAGATTGGTTCCGCCTCGCCTGACCCCCAAGGGCTGGCCCCGCCTCGCCTGACGGCTGAGGGCAGGCTTCGTCTCGCCCAACGCCTGAGGGCAGCCTCCGCCTCGCCCGATGGCTGAGGGCAGGCTTCGTCTCGCCCAACGCCTGAGGGCTGGCTCCGCCTCGCCCGACGGCTACACCCTGTTCCTTCACAAATACAAGCACAGGGTACGACAAGATATTCGAGTCAACCGTACTACCAAGGGCCATGCCCTGCATGCCTGCAGGAAGGTACTGTCAGGATACGATGGGACGGGCGCTTTAGGCCCTTTCCGACCTGACAGAGCCCGAACAGTGTTGTAGGCGCCGACTTTTGTCCCACAGTGTTGTAGGCGCCACCATCAACCCTCGGGCGCGGATACTAACATGAGCATACGACAACCACTACGATCCAAGACAGAGCTCACATCATCCACAGTGATGGACGTATGGTCACTTCCCCGTCTACTCCCTGAAGGGTCACAGCTCGGCTCTCTGGCATGCTGCACCGTCCGCTGGTGTAGGATGGGATGCACCCACTTGCCGAAAGAGGTCAGGGCATGACCCTATGAGGATCAACGAACACGCCATTCCTGGCAGGGTCTGCCATGTTAGCAGGGTAGGCACAGGGGAAAAGGAAGACCCGGCTCCCTCGAAGGACCTTCTCTACCTTTGGTTTTTTCCTCTTTGTCCTGTCTGTAACCCCTGCTCCCCCCTTGGTCTATAAAAGGGAGGGCAGGGCACCCCACTAGAGGGATCGATCATTCTTGACACACAAGACACAGCCAAGCAGCAACCGAGCTCTTGGCGTCCTTTCGACCTTTCCATTAGAGACTTGGGACCCGTCCCTCTCTCGACCGTTTGTACCCCCTACTACGAACCTTTTTCGGTACTAATAACATGAGCAACAGCAAACTAGACGTAGGGACATTCTGCCCGAACTAGTATAAACCTTGTGTGCTTTAGTACACCATCCGAGCCTAACGCGCAACAATTATAAATTTACTAGCCAGTGTTTGTTCGAAACACCGACACCAAGATACAAACAACCTATACCTATGGAAAAACAATAAGTAGAAGCAGCAACCTAAGTGCTCCAGACAACAAGGACCCAAGCTATGGGTGCTCTTGCCCACCAAGTTCTCTACAAGGGTGAGCTCAAGTAGGAAGCGACACATGAACAGGGAAGTTAGACATTGAACCCTAATATATTGTCACAGGAAAATGTTCATATCAAAATAAAATGAGCAGGAGTGGACATAGAACAGAGTCACGAGAAAGAAAAAACATTTTTTGGTTTATTATTTTGTTTCGTGGGTCTCACACATAACTCATGCGCTCTTCTAGGAGAAGCCAAACAAGAGAGTGGATGTCAGGAATGGTGCTTGTAAGGTACCGATAGAAGGCCCCAAAAACACAAGAATACCTACAAGATGTGGAGCAGCTGCTGCAACTCAGAGTCACTAGGGAAAAGTGGCTGGTTAGTGACCAACTCATCTGCAATTTACATCAAGTTAGAATATCTATATATGTCGGTGTGAGTTATGAAGCAGTTCACATTGAAAAGCAATGTCGGAGTTCATCGAAATCTTACCAAAAATTGAGCCAAGAGATCATATGTCAACCAACCAGCGTGGAGTAGTGTGTGGAACCAAGGAGAATCCTAGGGGCCTTGTACCACAGGGTAAGGATCAGCAGAAATTTTTTAGGTTAATTCTGTTGTTAATTAATTAGATCCAAGAACAGGGGCCAAGAGGAAACATCGTGGGTGTACTTTTTGATTGGCACAGTGATGGCGTGGTTTGTACACATAAACATTGCATCTAGTTGATTCTTAGAAACTTCTCTCACAATAGAAGTCCTAAATGTGCAAATAATTAACGGTTTCCCATAAACCTACAACCTTTTTTCCCTTCCTTTCTATTTTCTTTCCCCAACATGTATTCTGCTATTTCACTTGTTTGCCTTCCTGACCATAGCGACCCAGGAGATATACAACGGCAGGACTTCAGCAGCTTCACGTAGCAGCAAGGAAAATAGTTTCATCCTCCAACCTACTAACAATATATCTATGGCTTGCTGGCATGGAAAATGGTTTGTCTCTAGAATGCCAGAATTTTCTAAACTCTAAGTTAAACACATTCATAATACATATTCTCTAGATCTGTCATATACCTCGCTCCTAGCTACTCACCTACGATGATCAAATGTTAACTTACCATTTGATGAATTCACGCTCCATATGTTGTTCCAATCGGTCCTCGTGTCCCCGCCCCTTGGTGCTGCTGGCCAGCTGCCATGCATGTCCGCAGCTTGCCGTTGGCCTTGGCCTCAAGGCCATCAGACGGCATTCCCGCGGCCCCGCACAAGCGCACTAGGACACTGGAACAATCCACGTGGGTGCGGCTTGCAGCGCTGGCGTGCTGTCTCCCTTGGGAACGGATGCTCGCGGTCATAGGTCGCAACCTCGTGCGGCCGCCGACCATGTCTGCCTTGCCTCTGCCCCATGTGGCCGCCGGTCCATCGCCCGCCGCAGCCTCATGCTAACACGCCGATGAGCCATCATGGCCTCGCTGGAGTTCGTAGCCCAGCAGCCACCTAGGTGCCCACCTCTATGGATAGGGTTTTGCCAAAAACGGGAGAACAGAGATTTAGAGGAGACAAATAGATGAGAGAATCGAAGCTAGCCATAGGAGATGCATATGCAAGTGGAGAATGCAAGGAGAGGAAGTCACATAACTGGTGGTGGTGGTGGTGCCGCCGATGTCGTTGGAGCGCGGCGTTCATGCCCCTGCCGTAATGCCCTCCCACCCCTGGCTCTGCAGCCATCTCCTTCCCCTATCGACGGGAGCAGCACCACCAGGCCTAGGAACACCAGCGCGGTGTGAATCGAGGGCGGGGAGAGAAAGACGCGGCGACGGTGCGGGATGAGGCCGTTGCCAAGCGTGCCGCCAGGCGTCAGTGGCCTCACCGGTAGGGAACCGCATGATTAATGTTTCCTTGCATGAACAAGCCAATCAGGTAGGTGATCGATTTGTTTGCTTCCATGCACGAGCGTTCCTTGCATGCACGAGCCAATCAGGCAGGTGATCATTCCGTGCGGTCAGGAATCATCGGGGAGTCATATGTCGGGGTGCAGCGAAGGTCACATGACTTATCGTCCTACTGGGTAGATGTTGAAGGAACTTTTTAGTTGTATATAGATATATAGATATAGATAGAGAAGAGATAGGGGTGGGCGGGGCACTTGTGTATCTATTGTGCAAGTAAGGCGACCCAGACTACCGGATCGAAGGCCATGGAGACCAATGGCGTGGCAACCAGGAGCCCCATCCGCAGCACCGCTTCGTGCTGGTGCACGGGCTGTGCCACAGTGCGTGGTGCTGGTACAAGGCTGCCACAGGGCTGCGCCGCGCGGGCCACTGCGTGACGGCGCCAGACATGGCTGGCTGCGGCGCGCACCCTACGTACGTGGACGAGGTGCATACCTTCGAAGAGTACTCGCGCCCGCTGCCGGACGCGGTGGCGGCGCTGCCGCCGGGCGAGCACGCCGTGCTCGTGGGGCACAGCCACGGGGGCTGCAGCGTCGCGCTCGCCGCCGAGAGGTTCCCGGACAAGGTCGCCGCGGCCGTGTTCGTGGCCACGTCCATGCCGGCCGTAGGCCGATCCATGGCCGCCGCGACCACCGACGAGGTACGTACGTATATACATCAGCGCTACTGCTGCACGCGCGACAGACTACGAGGGTAAATAGTATGTGCAGCAATAAATTGTTGTATCGTCCTGTCTGGATGCACATGCACGCCGCAAAACTGGTATCGATAGAAGCTTTTGCAGCAGTAGCAAAACAAATCAAGGACAGTAGGTAAGCTGAGTCCGGAGGGGAAGTTTTGACCATGCATATTTGTTGGTTTACTGGCATATATGGACCGGGGCTTTCTGGAACTCTTTTCTTTTTAACTACTAGATACTCCAAGCGCTGCTGCGGAGATTGTAAAAAATTAAAAATAAAATTAAGTAGGGATAACATGTATAGCTTGCTTAAGAGGATAAAAGTTAGTGACATGATATGTCTATTAGTGAAAGATGATGTGGATTATTAGTGGAACCTGATGTGGATGTGAAAGTGCATCTAGCCCTTTAGTGGATTTTGGATGATTGAATGACAATACGATTAAAGATCTAATATATTCACTAAGTGTTGACAGGAAATTGGTTATCTCATGGATACTTGATTAAATTGTATAAAGCCAAAATGATGTGTTGTTGTATAAACAATCTAGTTCAAGCATAAGACAACAATGCAAATAGAATTCATGTAAAGACTTATTTATTGTGGGATTTTCATGTACTATGTGAAAGCAAGTACGGTACGAATTAATTAATGAGACATGAGGGATTGCATATGGAATAGTCTCATATTTAAAGCTTGCTAAATTAAAATAAAAAAGATAACAATACAAATGAATGAATGATTCAACACAAAATGTGACTTCATGGCTTGAGATGGTGAAGATAGAAAGGAAATGTTTCGAGGTACTAAGCAAGGATGAAGGGCAAGCGACAGCTTGGCGGCCGAAGAACCTAGCTAGAGTGAAGAAGAAAGTATTTGCATTTAGTTGAGGTACTAATCAAGCTATGATGGTCATATTGATGTGGAGGATCAAATCTACATTGGACAAAGTATTGGAAGTGACTTGATGTATTTGGAGTTATTTGTATTTGATGAATGGAATCAAGTCACGTGCTCAAGATGACTATGCTCAAGTGAAAAGATCAATATCGACATGTTGGTACTCTCACTTGATGAAGATTGAAAGAGACGGCATCAATTCAAAAGAGATCAACTCAAGCGGTATAAATTCGTTTTTCCTTTGATCTTAAGTTTAATAGGTATGCCGTACTATTAAGAGGGATGCATCATAATGACAGGTAATCATTCATAAGTGCTCATGCCAACCCATATGAGTTTTGAGTGTTTGAGAGACAAAAGAGCTAACTTGTTTTTTGTAGGTCTAGCACGTGTCTGGTATTGATACTGGACGTGTCTGATATTTTCCCAGCCACGACAAAATTCTTGGAGTTCTCGAGTTGGTTCGTCGAGAGTTCTGACGTGATTCGGGAGTTCTGATGGTCGGGAGTTCTGGCAATCGTCGGGAGTTCCGACGTCTCGCACTTAACTGACTTGGAGAGTTGACTGCCTGGTCACACCGGACGTGTCCGGTATAATAGAACAGAGCCCAATGGCTAGTTTTCAAACGAGCCGAGGGTCGGGAGTTTCGACTTGAGTTGGTCAGGAGTTTCGGCAGTCAGAAGTGCCGGTAAGCGTCGGGAGTTCCGACATCTCACATACTTTAACTCAGTTAATGTTGGCGTAGTGAAAGTCATATCGGATGTGTCCGGTATGCATACCGTATGGCAACGGCTAGAAAACGACTAGTTTTTCAAAGGGGCTATAAATAACCCCAAGCCTCCACCTTTGGAGGCTGCTGATTCTGCAGATCCTCTAGCACGTTTTTGAGCTTTGCCAACTCTCCCAAACCCTCTCTTAGTGTGTGTGATCCAAATTGCCAAATCTATTAGTGGGTTGAGAGAAATTCAAAATTGAGAGCAAGCCACCACTTGAGCACTTGTGCATATTGTCTATTTCATGATTTGCATTTGTTACTCTTGGACTCTTCGGTCCTAGACGGCTAGACGTCGTCGGAGAGCACCCGAAATATTGTGGTGTGCCTCGGAAAGTTTGTAACGGTCGATTCCGCTGCCTCAGAATCAACTAGTGGAAGGAGGAAAAGGAGTTGAAAAAGACTCTGGCTAGAGTGACTTTCATGGTACTCTCTTGGGTTGACCTTTGCTGGGTCGCCCGCAACCCCCTCAATGGAGAGTAGGACTCGAACAAGTCCGAACTACGGTAAAACAAATATCGTGTCTCAATTCGCATTTCATTTGATATTTATGTTGCTCTAGCTCTTGTGCAAGTTACCTGTGTGTGGCACTATCTTTAGTGGGTGCCTACAGGTTGGTCTGAAGATTGAAATCAAAAGGATCAAGTTTGGGGCTGTTCTGCAGAACACGTGTATACCCGGACACGTCTGGTATTAGAGCTCAGTGCTGAATTTATTTGATCCGTGTTCTAATTCTTGTGTTGCAGGTTCTAGGCTCCTAGGATTATTTAATATTGTTTATTTACTCATAGGCTACCTTATGAGGGGTTGTATTACTTTGATTTGGAGGTTCCACTCAGAAATTCCCATTACTAAATCGTTTTCGAATTTAAAGGCGTTAATTTTTTAGAAATGCCTATTCACCCCCCTCTAGGCGGCATCCTAGGTCCTTTCAAGTGGTATCAGAGCAAGGTTCTCACCTAAACCTTCACCGCCATGAGAAAAGGATGTCGACGCCTATCAAGTTGGAGTCGGTGCTTCTCCAAAATGATGGTTCAAACTTTCTACCTTGGTCAATTCATGTACTCAATGCTTTTAGGGATATTAGTCCTCTTGTTGAGCATATTGTGGATGCAAGCATACCTCTTCCTATAGTTGATTGGAGCAACTACAAAAATTTGTCAAAAGAGGAATAGATATGCGTGCAACTCAATGCTCAAGCTATTAATGTCATTTTGAGTACATTGAGTGCAGAGGTTCAAGATGAGGCAATCTTTAATGGACAACCACCTTCGGAGAGTGCTCACCTCATTTGATCTAGACTTGTTGAATTATATGGAAAATCCAAATGTGATGATGCTATTGAGTGCAATTCAATGGAAAGTATGTCTATTGTGTCTTCATGCAGCGAAGAAGCCTCACAAGACCTCAAGAGCGCCGAGCTAGAGCAAGAAGTGCAAGCAGCGCATGACCTGCTGTCTGCCTGCACATACCGGTCCGGTATGGTCGAGGCAGCAGAGTAGCAAGTAGCTGTTTGCAAGGATGCTCAAGACTAGTGGTGACCAAGTGATGAGTCAACCTCAGTATCTAATGAAGCTCATCACTTATGTCTCATGGACAAGAAAAGAAAGAAGAAGAGTAACAAGAAAGATCAAGGAAAAAGCGCAAGTAGATGATCAAGATAAGAGTGATGTTGAAGTTGAAGACAACTACAACCTTGATCATCTCAACCGCAAAGACAAGTTCATCATCATGAAGATAGTTGAAAAGAATGATGAGCTTGAAGAAGAGAATGAGAAGCAAGAGCAATCACTTCAAAAGCAAGAATTGTTTCTCATCTCCAAGATGGAAGTACTAAAGGATCTAAGTGAAAGGTATGAAAAATTGTCAATTGAGCATGCTTTAGTTACTAACTCCTCTTCTAGTGTTTCACAACTAGAGAAGGAAAACTTTGAGCTCAAGGCAAGGCTAGATGAACTATCAAACAAGTATAATGTGCTACAAGCAAACTATGTTCATCCAAAGTGCTCTCATGAGGAAGTAGTAGAATCAAGCATCATGCTTGGGGTGGCTCATGAGGTTGTGATCACATCGGTAAAATTTTCTCAATCTCTCACACATTCATTCACTAGTACACCATCTCAATTAAATATTTCTTGTACTAATGAGTGTGCTCCTCAAGCAAGCCAATCTTCGATTGAGCTAAATCTCATAGAAAACATAGAGCTTAAAGAAGAGGTGGAAAGATTAAAGAAAGATGTGATTCGGTTGTAGGGTAAGAAGAAAGCACAACCTTCTCAAGATAACTGTGATAACATGGTGAAGAAGCTTGAGAAGGGTTCAAACCTTGCTTCCTCCAAAGCCCAACAAAAGAATCACATTTCAAGCAAGGCCAACACAACCAAGAGCAAGAAACATGGAAAAAGGTTATGCTATGGTTGTGGATTATATGGACATGAGTGGGCTATGCGTCCACATAAGAGTTGGGGCGACAAGTGTGAAGCGGCCGAACAAAAAGCCTCAAACAAGTTGGCCATCCAAAAGAAAAGTGATGGACAAAGCGCTTGTCTCATGTGCAAGAAATTGAGGCATCCTACCAAGAAATGCCCAATGTACAAAGAGGCAAGAAAGGAAGCCCCAAGTTGCAACAAGAAGATGCTATGGATGCAATGAGATGGGCCACAAGGTTGATAGATGTCCATACAAGCAAAACAAGCATAGAGCAAACAAAGACCGCATATGCTATGCTTGTAGAAGAAAGGGGCATCTAAACTATGAATGCCCAAATGGTAACGCTCCTAAGCCGAAGACATTTGTTTATAATGATATGCTTAGGAAGAGCACAAATGGAGTTAGCACTAGCAAGGTGATGTGTTCACCACAAACTAGTACTAAAGCCATTTGGGTACCTAAGCACTTATTGACTAACCCAAAAGGACCCAACAAGAGTTGGGTACCAAAGTGTGCTTAGGTGAATGATGTAGGTACTTTGTGGGAGATGAAGACTTCGGGGTGCCTGAGCAAGCAAATTGAAATTTTCACTCATGTTATCAATCTATTTCTCTCATATTATTTCATATGGTTGACCCGAAGACAAATTAATGAACATATCATCTACCTCATCCTCACCATTGATAACAAGTACCTAAACCTTATAGGATTGCCACTTTGTATATTTTGTGCTCAATGGCTCACAAATAGGTCTATTTGTGAAATATTGATAGTGGCTAATTAGTTTCACTTGATAATTATCATGTTTGCCATACGGTGCTTTTAATAGCTCTCTAGTAGAGCAATTTATTTGTTGAG